ACAATGTTAGAATAGCGGGTGGGAAAGTATGATAGTTAACCACAACAATATTTCAGTACAGCATTGCCAAGGTCAGCTGTAACCAGAGTAGTTATGGGATGGAAAGTTCACACTTCAAACTAATTGGAGAACGTGATTAATGACTGTAAAATGAAGGAGTGAGTTATGCTTTGTTACCGGTGATTGGGGGTGGGAGGATTCAGTTTTTGGCTTCATTATGTACCTGCCGAAGCTATGTAGCAATAAAAGGATTCTTTAAGGTAAATAAAGCCTCAAAGTTCTTTGAAAAGCTGCTTCTTTCGGAACCATGACAGCTGCAGCATCAGGTACTGTTTTTCATTCTGATTTAAATGAATTTGTGAGTATCCCACAATATTACAACATTTATTATTCCCCTATTATTCATTTATTAAATTTTTACATTGCCTGACCTCCAGTGACTCTGGAAAGTGATGACAGTTTTTTTTTTTTGCCCATAACACTTGTTAAGAGAAATTTCTCCAAACATTGTTTAATAATGGGGATCAGACATACTTTTACACTGAAGCACAAATGGCTTATTACTGGTACTAGAGGGAACTAAGGATAACCTAAGAAAAGGCAGGGACAAAAGGGTGACAACAGGAGGAAGAGCCCCAGGAAAGTTCTTGGAAAGAATCTGAGAATATTTGTAAGATAATGGCAAATTTGGCCAAATTGTCTTAACTATTAATAAGTGAACCCACTAAGTGACCCATGCTCAGCCACTTCCCCTTGTGCTTTCAAGAAGGGTGAAATGTCCATTGCAAATCTGAAAAGGAAGGAGGATTTGAGAATGTCTCTGCAAGGCTTGCAGGGGGATTAGGTGGAGCAAGGTTTGCTGGTTCAAATGCTTTCTATGCAGTCATCTGCAGGATAGATGATGTTGAGCTTGTTAGGATTGCCTCACTCACAAAGGACAGTGGTGTCCAGGTTGGCATTGCTGTTGTGATGAGTAAGGGCAGTGGGATCACCTGCATGATTTAAACATAGGCAATAGCCTAAAAGGCCATCTGGTACACTTGGATGAATTTCTGAAGTGCTGTCCATCTGAGATATCTCCCATGGGATGAAACTGAATTATAGTAGGAAGAGAGAACCAGGTTTCCTTCAGGAAAAAAGGCTGCAGAACAGGAGTTACAAATAATTCTGATGAGTGGGAATTGGACCCTTTTGTTAAATTTTGCATTGGCACACTTTTGCCCAAGTACTTATTGGTCCAAATTTTTGCATGGCAGGTGTTTTGATTCCTCTTCCCAGTTTATTGTACTGTATACACATTTGAGTTCTTCCCAAGAGCTAGGATGCCATACTGTATAGTATATGCCTGGATCCAAGCAGTGTTGCCTTTTGCAACTGACAGGTGGAAATTTTGTCAGGAAGAAGGAAGGAGGTGAATCAGAACAAAACTGTGCCACTCACCAACAATTCTCTGTTGGCCCAAAAGGATACCGTGGTCAATGGTATTGAAAGTCACCCAGAGGTTAAAAAGAACAAGGATGGATGCACCACCTCCCTCCCACTCCTGATAGAGATCATATAAGAGGGCAAGCAATGCAATTTATGTTCTGTATCAGGTCCTCAATCCTGACTGAAAAGGGTCCAGATAATGTACTTCATCCAGAATCCTCTGGAGTAGCAGAACTACCACCTTCTCAACAACTAAAAGAAGGTGGGAAACTGGATAAAAATTGTCCAGAATGGTGAGATCCAGGAATGACTTCAAAGGAACAATCAACATCTTTTACCATCTATAAAACCATAACCCATACCATTGAACAAAGCAATATATAGAGAAACCACACAAAATCCGTACCAAGAAGAATATAATGGCCAGAGACACTCACTCTGTCTTGAACACCACTACTTCCTCTCCAGCCAGCACTCTCACTGCTGATCACAAATTTGGATTAGTGAACATGCCCTTTTAGTCCCATGTTCTCTATAACCTGAAATTAGTTCACCAGAGTTATGCAGAGGGATTTATTCACAGCTGCTGAACCTTCTTCGTGGCAAGTGGATGATCTAAAACCGGGTTATAATTCCTCCCTCCACCCTCTAATGTTCTACAATGAATGCTAAAAAAACCTTTCATTCTTTTGTTTATTTTAGAGTTTATCAGCATATTTTACGTAATTTATTGTATTTTTAAACCTAATCTGAAGCAGGCATCATGTAGTAATACTGCATATGTTTCGCTATTTAGATTCAAATTTTTGTTATCTTCCACTGGAAAACCTAACTGAACTTGAGAGTTGTTCTTTTGTAGTCTTGCATACAGGATCAGCATATAGTCCAATGTATGTGGATCGGTATATTTTTCAGGCCACATCATTTTATTTAGAACCTGTACAAAAGTAACAGTCTTGAAAATTTACCTCTGGACACTCACATTCACCAGCACAAAGTTCTGATGGATAATGGAGAAATTACTAAATAAAATTGCCCTATTTTCTTCACATATGATTAGATCAGCACTGAAATAGCAGATTGTTTTGATTTGGCAGCATTGTCATTAGGCTACAGAGTTGACTTCCAATAGAGATGAAAAGCAGTAATTCACATATCATGCAGGACTGCAGTTTCAAAATGTCTTTTACTTCTCAGCCAGATATCACAGCTTCTATCTATCTGCTTATCTTCTTCACATTTTGATATTACTCTGCATTAGACTGAATTGATTATATAACAGTAACTGCCAGACTGTATACTGGCCCCCCTGAAACGGACTGAATAGCCATTCCTCAGAAGAGGTTATTCACTCAATCTCTGAATAAATCGTTGCTCTAGGCCAATTTTCTAAGCAGGTGGCATGCTTAAAACAGTGATTTAAGCAGAAACATTTACGAGGAATATGGGCACCTATTTGCATGTAAAAAGTCCTTAGTTCAATCTGTGGCATATTGAGCTAGGCTCAGAAACCCTTATCTATTACAGTGCTACAGTCAAGGCAATATGAGTTAGATGGATCAGTGATCTGATTTAGTATCAGGCACCTTCCCCGTGGGCTTGAGTCTTATAGATAGTGCTTATTCTGGCCTAAATGGCCTAAAATATGTATTTTCAGACAGAAGATTGAAGTGTATTTCCAGTTCTAATTCAGAAAGCAAATAGACTTCACTATTACAAGTTTGGGAAACATTTATTTAAAAAAATGAAATGGAAGGAGTTTTTTTCTGAGTAATTAGTGGAGGGAATGCATAACTGATTTTTTTTAAAGTGAAATCCATGCTTCTTTCTTCCTGGTCATATATATTCTTTCCAGTTTGAGAATCTTGTGTTGGGAAAATATTATTTCCATCCATTATATCAGGTAGTTTCACTTGTAATAATGGATATAGAATGGAATGGGAAGTGTCATAGATTACCTGAGGCATCACCACAGATGAATGAGATAGTCCTCTTTAATATGTTTTTAAATGTTATGTTTTCACATTTATTTGGCTACTTTCCTGGTTGGTCATTCCTCTGCTCTAGATTATTTATTCAACAAAGTGTAAGAAAAAAGAGAAACAAAGGAAGATGTGATTTCTCATAACAATGGCCTGCCATTTCATGAGTATCCTATCATTTTTCTCCCAGATCTATAAAGGCTATATTTTTTTCCTGTCTGTAACACATGAGTATTCAGAATTATTTTCTGAAACATAAAAGAATAACAAAAGAATATATGACCTCTTTTGCAGCATAATATTGTAATTCTATTTTTTTTCTTACATAAAGATAAGTTTTAGCCTAAATATGGAACTTGCTGAGCACACATAGAGCAGATTAGCCTGACTCCTCTAAGGTATGTAGATTTTGCTCATGCCTTGATTTTTTTATTGCCTTTTCACCTTCGTAATTATAATACAACATCTGCTCAGTCACTGGTCACCAACCCTTATTTGCTGATGCCATCCCACTATGGCACAACCATTCATGTGTGATTGCTGTAGCCAATCGGGAAAGATCTTGCTGGGAAAGGTTAGGTTGGGCACACAAGGAATAGCTTTGGGGGCAAAATGTTGCAAAACAAAGGGCTGCATTAGCCTCTTGCCAGAACGCTGAAGGCAGCATTTAATTAATACCATCATTTACATAAGCATCTTTATCTAGCTTGGATACTCAGGCTGATAATAATTGCTTGTACTTGTATTTTACTTGGCAGTTAAATAGAAATTGAGATGAGGTCACCCAAGGGAGGGAAAAACAGCTATTACAGAACTAAACAAAAAGAATTCTGCATTAAGTTTATTCATTTATTTTAATTGCCAAAGAAGCAGAAAGGAAATGTTTCAGTAATGTGATACTGTAAAGACTTTAAACACAAATTTTATTTTAACATTGTATAGTTTATGTGGAAAAGCTTATCTGTGCTATTGTAACAATCAGTTTGTTTTCTTTTGAATTGCAATATTGTTTACTTAAAATATAATTATTGTTCATGGTCAATCGTTTAATGCATTATGATATTGATATTGGAAGGAGAATCTAATTCTGGTTAGTTGCTATTAAAGCACATGGGATAAACAATTCAGCATTTTAAATGATGTGCATGTAACCACTAAGCCTTGTTAACGTCTTTTTGTTTATTAGGATACTGTATAGAACAGGGTTGAACTGCAATATGGAATGTACATGTTATAGTAATCTACAGATTGTTTGACCAAAATCCATGGTTTGTAAATAAACCAGTTAACTTATTCAAATAAACATATTTTGCTTTATTCTGAAAAATATTCAAAGCCATCTATAAGTTATAAAGTGTAATAGCTGGATACATCCTATATGTTAAGCCACACAAAAATAACCTACATTCTGCCAAATATATACAAATCTAGTCAACAGGTATTGTATTTATGAGCTGTGCCTGTTATGTTGACACCAATTACTTACATGTCCCTGTTATGTTGACACCAATTACTTACATGTAGTCAAAGATATGTTGTTTCAGAAACATTAACTATATATCTAAAGAATTTTGTCATTTACAGTATATTATATTGAAACTTCATCCCTTGAATTTGCATGTCATCCTTATGCGAGGATCATGCTAATCTTTTCTGTATTATTCTAATACAGTGAATGTGCAGCAAATATAGTAGACAATAATAATAATAATAATAATAATAATAATAATAATAATAATAATAATAATAATAATAATAATAATAATAATAATAATAATAATAATAATAATAATAATAATAATAAAAAAAAAAAGTTGGAAGGGACCTTGGAGGTCATTGAGTCCAACCCCCTGCTCAGGCAGGACACCCTACACCATTTCGGACAAATGGCTGTCCAGTCTCTTCTTTAAAACTTCCAGTGTTGGAGCATTCACCGCTTCTGGAGGCAGGTTGTTCTTAAAATTAGATTGTCTTAAAATTGTATTCAACTTAAGTCAATTACCATGATAAAGTAAAATTTGGTCATCCAACTTATTTCTCATTTAGATTTTTATCCCACCTTTTCTTAGGAATTAAGGCATTATATATAGCATTTAAGGGGTTAAACTATCCCATTCCTTCCTCAATACTTACCAGCCAGCAGATCACACTGAGCCAACACAAGCTGTAGGTGCTCAAACACTGGAGGTTTTTAAGAAGAGATTGGACAACCATTTGTCTGAAATGATATAGGGTTCCCTGCTTGAGCAGGGGGTTGGACTAGAAAACCTCCAATGTCTCTTCAACTCTGTTATTCTGTTAAAGTTGGGCATCATGGTAGAATGAATGAACAGGAGGTCAGATTAGAAGAGAGTTTTGCAAGGGAATTTGACTGGGAAGGAGAAAAGGGATGGAGTAAACTGACTACTTATCTCCAGAAACTAATCATCTAAGTGAAGTTCACTGATCAAGGAAGCTAAAGCCTCAAGGTCTGTAAAAGTATAGCATAGATATTATCTTTTAGTTCCTAAAGAAGAATATAAAGTTACTAACAATATCTAATATTACATGAAGACCAGGAGATTTCAGGGGATAGGATATATCCTATATATATCATAACAAATGTACAATTGTCTGCTGATAAATGCATAATTGTGAGTTTATGCTCGGCACAGTTAGCTTCTAGCTAGCAGTGAGCAAGTCCTTTCCCTTGAAATAAAACAGTTGAATTGGAGATGCTTAGACAGCCTGAGATGTATATTGACAAAACCTTCTAGAATGCAATAACTTTGTCACCGTTCCAAGATAGCAGCTCCTGTCGGCTCAAGGAGAACAAGGGTCTTGGAGAAGGACCCCTTTTAAAAATAACAAAGACATTCCTGTAGGAAGCACACAGTCATTCAGTGATGAACCCACATTGGTCAACCCTGCTAAGACAGGCCAGATCAGGAGATTCCACAAGTCTGACTGGAACTATATTTTATTGATATAGATTATGGTGAGAGAATTTTGAGAACTTGACTGAGTCACATCAGTGGTTCTCCTCATAGCTGTGATGCCTCACTGGGGAAGAAAGTGAAAGACTTTAGTTTGTAGGTGATTCAATTAACCAGGGTTTGTGATGGGCATATACATTGCATGGCGACTTGCCTATCTGGTGCAAAACATGCAGGCATCATGAGATGTTTAGATCAAGTACTGGGGAAAAAGCAGTGGCTAGGGTCATATTAGCATCAATTATATTGGAAAATGTAGTTACCAAATCCTAGATACCAAACCAATTTAGTTTGCTAGATGACATCTAAGATTGCCAAGGTGGCATTTTGAAAAAAGCTACTTATTTGATGAGTAGGGCTAACTAGACAAACAGAGTTTAGGGATCTCAGTCTTTGGATGAGACAGTAACATTAGGCAGAGGAATATTGTATAGATTTATTAGACACTGGAGAGTGTTTTAGCACAAGCGAAACTTATAGAAAAAACATCTACTCAGACTGGTGCAAAAAACCTGGCAGAGTAATTTTTAAACCAATTCTTAAGGGAATATGGACAGCTGCTAGACAGCATTTGGTTCAGGAAAGTACAGATATCAGAGAGAGGACCAGTGCTGGAAGTGGGCTAATGAGTGATTGTGTCAATTGGGAGATGAAAGGGAGACAAAAATGCTGTGAAAAAGGTTCATGCCAAAATGTGAAAAATATGTGACATACTGCTGTTTCCGTGTTAGTGCTACCAGCTTCTAAGGCCAGATAGTGGATTTTGAACAAAATAGATATAGTGAGTATAACTGAAATCTGCTGGAATGGAGAACATTAATGGGCTACAGTCATTCCTAGATGCAAGCTTCATAGTCAAGACAAGGATAGGCTCATTTTAGAAGGTTTTCTTCTTTATATCCAGTAGAATATCTAACATACTAGGGGAAAAAAACCATATTTGTTCATAAAATCACTATCTGGCGACTGTTCTTTGTAAAATCGCTACAGTATTAAGCCACAGTGTCCATTGGTTCTAAAGGTTCCAATATAAGCTTCAGCCCTCATATATGTATGTGCAGTATCATCACACATAGTCAGAAGGGGCAGAACGTGCCTCAAAATATTGTAGTGAGAAATTCCAGATGTGACGAGAGCTTTAAAAAGATTTCTTGAATTAACTGAACGTTGAACCAAACGTTGAACCATGTAAATTAAATTTTAGTATATAATTTTTATCAAGGATTTTGATAACAGTAGCAAAACTGATAGAAATTAAACTTAAAAAAAAGAATAGTAGGAAAGAAAAAATGCAAGTAAAAAAGAAAAAAGACCAGAAAGGATATTAGGAACAAAAAGAAAAGAAATACATAAATGACCTCCAACTTTCATTACAACAAATATAAATTTAGCAATATTTCATCCCCAATAAGGTTATAAACATATATATCTTCATCCCATATCCCATCCCTTTATAAATCCATTGAACATCAACTTTTCAGTTTTTGTTTTCAGCAAAAAGTCTGTAAAGAGTTGCCAGAACTTTGCAAAAATAGTCTTATTTCAACTATGACCGAATAAACCAGCTTTATATCCCTTTCTTTTACTTCTAAGTCTTAATCTTTAGTCCACTGAGGTATTGTAGGATTTGCTTTCTCTTCAGTTCTTCTTTATCCTATTACTCAGACTTCTTCAAGGGTTTAACAAGCCACTTCTCTAGATCCAATAAGAAAACATTTCGCTTGTATCTCCCTTTTAGCCTTTAAAACTCCAGCCAGGGTTTGTTTGTTTTTTGTATATCCAATAAAGCTTACTTTTCTAAATCATTCTCTTGATCTGTCATTTGTAGTTGCACTTTGAGTATTTTCTCTGTCTTGTCAAACAAAATTTGTTCCACATCTGTTATTCTCTCATTAACATCTTTTGGACATAATCTGTCCATATAAATCAGATACCCATTTTTCAAAGATCTTTAATATTTCTGATATAACATTTTGTGTCATTTTGTAAGTTTTAGTTAACCAACACCAAAAGCAGGCTTTTAGTTCCTCCCCCCCCCTTATACTTAGAATGCTGAAGATTTTTTTTTTGTAATGGAAAGACTAGATCTTATCATTTTCATTCAGAAAATCCATGATTCAGTAAGTACCATCTCTATTTTAAAAAAAAACACAAAAGGTCAAAAGCATTTAAAAAGATCTTCAGGGAGCTATTAGAAACTGAGCTAGCCAAAATAGAAAATGGTACAATATATTAGGATAAATGAATACTGTATCATAGGCCAGAAGAATTAGAATTTTTAAAACAACCCTGGGCAGTCCTACAAAATGGCTAATGCAGAATACCTTTTCACAAAAAAATAGCTACCATAATAATAAAATGCTTACTTACTGAAAACTGTCTTTGGGGGCAAACGTCTTAAGACCGGGGTCCTCAACCTTGGCAACTTTAAGACTTGTGGACTTCAACTCCCAGAATTGAAGTCCACAAGTCTTAAAGTTGCCAAGGTTGAGGACCCCTGTCTTAAGACAAGGTTTTTAACTACACAGTTTTATGAAAGATGACTGAAATGGGATGAAGAAAGCTGTTACGTAGCATCACATTCCTGGGTGTGCAGCTAACGAGTAGGCTGACTTGGTCGCTCAACAGTGTGAAACTGGTGAAGCGGGCACAGCAGCGCCTGCATTTTCTGTGCCGCATGAGAAATGCACATCTTCCTTCCTCTGTCCTGACCACTTTCTACAGGGGGACAGTCGAGAGCATCCTGTCATACAGCATCACAGTCTGGTTTGGAGGCATCACTGCTTCAGACAGGAAGGCGGTGCAGAGAGTGGTGAGAATGGCCGAAAAGATCATTGGCAGTTCCCTCCCTCCCATCCAGGACATAGCACAGAAGCGNACAATAAAGGTTATCTTATCTTATAAGAAGAATTGTAGTTAAAGCCTAGGTCATGCTTGATTTCTGGACATGTCCTGGCAGCATTATAAGGAGTGGTTTTTCATATATATTTTCATTTATATATACATTTCTCTTGTTACTTTCCAGTCTAATCTTCATCCCTGACATTTCTTAATGGTTTCCTGTCTAAGTACTGACCAGGTGTGACTCTTCATCCTTTTTTGAGGTTAGCCTAGTCAGTCAGTTTGGTTCTGGATGTAGACGAATAGACATCAGTTTTCTAAACTGAACTGAGTGTAAAGTATAGGGATTATATAAACAAGCCCAACTCCACCTTCTAGTCTATTAGGGGTGCTCTATAATTTCAGTTTACCTTTATCTTTCTGTGGACAATCGGACACTTAAACAAAGCATTAACTAATCACTATTTTCACTTTGTAAGAAATTCCTATGAAGCTTATACAGTAATGAACTCGGAAAGATTTATACAGAAGATGGTAAAGATTTGCTTGCAACATGGTGCTTTCTATTTCATTATAAATAGACGAACAAACAAAGTGTGGTGTTGCACGGAACCTGAAGGAGATCTACCGCAGTGTAATGATTAAGATGAGGACTATGAATCAGGAAATATAAGTTCTACTCTATCCACCACCATGAAAGCTCTTTTAGTGACTTTGGACTAATCACTGTCTTTAAATCCAACTTAACTCACAGGACTGTGCTGGTCAATGACTATAATTGTGGAAGCCCAGAGAGATGAGTTTGAGCAGACAATATTGTGACTGTTACAAAACATAAGAAAACACTAAAAAGAGACTCAGAAAGGTTCCCTGGGGTGTAG